GACAAACGGCTGGTCCAAGACTCGGACATCCATAGGAATCATCGAACCCGCGCCAGAACTCGCCCCAGTCACCCTGTAAAACTGATCTCGACTTCTTGACCATGGAGGGCGCTCCAAATACGACATATCTCCTCGACGATCGGTGCGTTTCTCTCTTAACGCCACAGCTCGCCAGGGTAGAGAAGAAGCAGGCGTGAATGGCCAAGGCCTAGTCCAGTTTGGATGCACCAATCCAGCTTTCCAAATAGTAGTATCGATATCCCAATCAAAGGCATTAGGGTTGTCGGGCCGAAGAGGAGGTACATACCCATCCAACTCTTCCGACTTGGGTAACGTTACCAACGTCTGATTAATAACCTCCAGATCCGATTCCGAGAGAGCCAGAGATTCGATATCCATCTGGGCCAAATCCACAGAGGTGTCAGCGGGCCGAACAGCAGAGGCAGCATCAACAATCTCTTGTAGGGTTGACCTAGGTCTATTCATAGTCAAATCCCGTAACACTGTAGGAGGCCTATCCTCAACCGCAAGATTGGTACCCTCAACCGTAGGGATAGAAATCAGGACCGTAGCCGCTAAAAACACCTCGTTAGACCCTGTGGCCACCGTGCCCATATGATGTAACTCCATCCGGGCGGGTATAATATCAGGTACCATATACCCATCAGCATCTCTACCAGCAAGTCGAATAGGAATAGGAACCTCTCGAGGAGGTAGAACCACATTAGATGGCAAGGACCGTTGAACAGGGCTTAAGAAGTCCCTATGTTCTTCATAACGTTGCTCTCTTCGGGGTCCTTGTGGTTCATTGTAGACCTCACGAACTCGGGCCGTAGGAGATGGAGAATTAAGAGAGTAACCCCGATAGCCATATAATGGGGGTCCAGAAGGGAACGATTCCCGCCTCCTCGGTATAGGAAGGGGTTGAGGTTCATCAAGATGTCGATTGGTAGGGGGACATACGTTTCCGAAAGACGCAGCTCTCCTTCCCCGTCCTAAACTGATAACCGGAGTAACAGGGGTTCTCGCAGAGCGATATGGTGTCGATCGACCGGTTGACCCAGCTGGGGTCCCCAAAGTAGAGGCCACACTTCTCGAAGTCAAATATCCCACACGCTCTTCTCTTACCGATGGAGGGGGCGGAGGCAAAGTAGGAATTATATCAGCATCAACGGGCCGAACCAGCTCCACCGGAGATACAGTTGAAATGGACCGTCGAGGCAGCGGAGGTGGCTGGAGGGGTCCAATATCAGTAACTGCTCGTGATGACTCTGATGACGACAATACCAGCCCAGACCCCCCCGTATTAGCAGAACGTCGGGTTGGGGGAGCACGCTTCGGTACCGGCAATGATGACTGAAACCTCGTCACCGAAGCCAGAGTTGATTGCTCCGTCGGTAAACCGAAATTCTCTTGCTTAAGACGTTGTAGAGAGGCCTCGATGACATCATTGTAAGGACACGTCCCCTCATTTAGTATGAAGGGAACGTTATTACGGCGCGATGCCGATTGGACCTCAAACTCATGACGATGGGCCAAACAAAAGAAGCGACCCATACCTTTGTGGATATAGACAAAGTGCACATCGGGCCGAAGTTTCTCACGCAACGTAGCAGCGAACCTCTTCAAGCTGGGGTTGAGAACATCAGATTTCAAGTTGTCCATAAAGTCCAAGGCAGACAACTCCTTGAAACATGGATGGTCAATGAAGAAATAGGGGAATACACTCAACCGACCACGATTAGCACGACCTGGAAGGGAGCCTTGGTTGTCAGTATGACCAGAGCTGTTGAAGTGACGGGCCAAACATTGCAGTTGCTGATCAACATGCAATCCACGAAGCTTCACACAACTGGAGCATACATCACAATAATAGACCAAGTCTCTCGTTAGGAACAGGCCGCAACAATACGCAAGGATGGCCAAGTCCCTGCGTTCAGGTGAGTGGTTATTGGCAGCTAGAGGAACGCTGATAATCTTCTTATTGAAGGCCGAGACGGAGAATAGCTCCACCGAAGCGTCGTCCCATATGAATGTCGTACCCCATGACTCTCGTAGGACTTCATTCCTAACCCAGGGGAATCCCCAGGAAATCAAGGAGCGGGCCGCACTACTGATAGAACGGGCCGAAAACCACTTGGGGGAATGTCTAGCATCGCTGTTCGGAGCGACATTAAACAATTGCCCATTACGGTCATGAAGCTTACGTACCACACCACTGATATCAGTAACCGGGCGAGGCCGAGAGTTACGGCCAAGTCCCGTAAACTCATCTGCCGCGTGGTCGTAGTTACGGGCCGAAACCGGGGTAGGTGGGTCTTGTTGGTTAAAGGTGTCGAAGAAGCACCGTAGGTTGTCTCCACGCCTTTCGGGCTGAACATTGAGGAGTTCCTGAAGTCTGGCTAGTACACCAGGCATTTAGATAACAGCCTGCAACCGAGAGATAAAACATCTATCTCGAAAGAGCAGATTAAATGACAAACTTATGAAAAGCACCAATAATATACCTCATTCTTGCCAAACATTCTAGCAAAAACGGTCAATTGTGCGTGCGCCATGTACGCACGAACCCGAAGATTCGACTTAAAACGGTTATCGAAAACTTCGAAACATGCCTCAACCATGCCATCCATAGGCAGGTATGGGAGGCTAACACTGAGTACTCACAAATTACAAAGAACGTTCAGTGAAAATCATCCACTCCAATATTCCAAGTGCACTAACGTGGGTGTACGCACACCCAAGAGACAAGGGCCTGATAGCACAGCCCTACTAGGACAATACGATCCACAACTTGACGTCAATTACAATACCGGTCTTGAATACAATCAAATATGTCAGAGATCTCAAATACAATTAAGAAGTTACAAATCTTGATTACCATCAAGCAGAACTTCAATACCAAAACTCAGAGGTACCTTAGTAGAGTGAGACAATAAAATCCATCACTTCCCCTCCCCGCAGAATCCTACTGCAGGGTGTGAAGGAGGATTTAGCACTACTAATTACTTAGTGCTACCTCTCGAAGGTCTCCAAGAGGGGGAGAACTTCTGAGGGGGACGGATCACACGACCAGTACGAGTAGTACGGGGCGGCGGCGAACCTGGGGGAGCAGACTCAGGCAAAACCGCCGGCTCTAGAACTTGAGGTGAGCGGTCTTGCTGATCCGTGATTCCCGAGGACACATGGGGAATATTAGAACCACTTGAACCAGCTGATATGGCAGAAAGCATTTGACTACGGGCCGAAGAGGACGGTCGTGATCCGACAGATCGGGCCGAAGCATCCGCAATAGAACCATTATCATCAGGGCTGGAACCAGCAGACCGACCAGACTGAAGCACCGGATGAGATCTTCGCGACGAAGATAACCCTTCACTCGGCAATAGACTTGGGTTTTCAGAAGGAAGACTAGGAATCACCGGACCAGAAGCCTCTTCGATTAGCATGTCACCATCTCGAGGGCTACGAACTTCTCCAACCTGTGGTAGTGGTTGTAGCACATCAGTATCATCTTGAGCAACCCAATATGCCGAAGGTTGAGGCTGATATGGCCTATCATGAGAAGGAGAACCCATCTCGGCGACATATGACGAAACTTCATCGGAATCTGCAAAATGATCCAAATGGTCTTCTTGCAATACCGGATCCGTTCTAGGGATTTCCTTGAAAGGATACAAGGGAACCCTTGGAGCTTCATCAACAGGAGGTTCCATTCTCACAATGTTGAGCTGAACCGGTATCATTTCTGGTTGAACTGGATCTGCCAATATATAGTCGGTAGAAATGACCTTCTCCTGTAGATCTGGGAAATGTCGAACTACCACCGTCTTGTTATTAGATCCAGCAACAAACTTGAAGATGTACCAGTCTGCCTGCCATTTAGGAAGCAACTTACGGGCCGGAGCATTGTTGCCATGAAAAATCTTCAGGCGAACCCGTTGACCAACGTAATGTCGTCGATGAGAAGGTTGTCTTAAGGCTGCCAGACGGTATGAAGCACCATTAGCAGTAGCCCATTCATCCATAACATCATCAATTTTGGCACGTGCCCGGGCCAAATAGGCTACATAGCTCTCAGGATCATGCATCAAAGATGAGTATTGATATAGACTTGGCAATAACATTTGAGGAGCTTCCCTTCCAAACATAAGATAGAAGGGAGTGAATCCAGTGGCCGAATGAGGAGTCGAATTATATTGCCATAGGACGCCTCGTAGATGACCTTGCCAATCCCCTACGGTCTGAGTAGCCGTTCGGAGCAAATTCAAAATGGTAGAATTGAAACGTTCCACATGACCATTTGAGCTCGGATGATGCGGAGTAGACCGTACCTTAGTAACCCCCAAAATCTTCATAACATCATGAAAGATTTCACTCTCAAAGGCAGGACCTTGGTCACTCAGTAACCTCGTAGGCGGGCCAAATTGTGAGCAGAGTTGCAGCAATGGTGCCAAAGCATCAGTAGCTCCTTCTCCTTTTACAACATAAGCATCGGCCCAACGTGTGAAATGATCCACAATAACCAGCAGTTTGCTAGGGCCTTGGTCTGATGGGCCAACAAACAAGAAGTCCACAGCAATAGTATGCCATGGTGCTTCTACCGGAAAGGGCACTAAGGCTGCCGGGGGTTGCTGCCGAGCTTTAATGGTCAAACAGCGGGAACATTGTGCCACATAATCTGTGATATCCACGTGCATAC